CCCCCCCCCTTTCAATCCTTATCAGCTACCACTGGATTTCTCAGTGACATCATTTACCTGGGGTCAGAAACGTCTGGTCTGATGATCTCCACCCTGATCTTCCCGCCTTTCCCTCTTATCAGGCGAGGAYAGCCTCCCAGGGCTTCCCTCTGTTTATCAGGGTGAGGGGGGGTGACTGGAGGGCTCTGTGGCTGTGCCTGGGGAGACTGCAGGTTTCAAACTGGGGTTTTAAAATGGAGTTGCTCAGGCTCAGGCCTAGGGTCATCCTCACAGGTGTTCTCTTTATATATTCCAGGCTTCCTTTGTACTCCTGCCCTCTCCCCTTATCTTCCTCCTTCCTGACTAGGCATTTGACTAGGCCCAGGAAAGCTCCCCAGGATGGCCAAAAGGAGGGGCACCAGTGGGCTGAAGGGGGAAGGGCAGGGTGGAGCAGCCCAGGACACAAAGGAGGGGCAATCCTGGGACAGGTTACCTTAGCAACAGGTTGGAGCAGGCCAGGTTACCTTGATAAGGGTGGAGGGAGGGCTCTGAAGGAATTAACTTTCAATCCCTCAGGGGACAGTCTCCAACTTGCTGGACTCAAAACTGGCCTCCTTGATCAGACCTGACTCAATTTACCTATCTATACTGACTGCCTGTCTAATTCTGGCTTCAACATCAGTCCACTCTCTCTACACTGTTCTCCTTCCATGAAATAGAGGGCCCCCTATGTGTCCCCATGGCTCGGGGCAGTGCCAGGGACCTCTGTACTGAAAGCTCCAAGTCCCCTCTGACCCCTGGGCCACTGTCTGTGACAACTCTCCTTCACAATCTGGTATTCTGCTCTTTCAATTCAGTGGGGAAAGTCTTGGTGTAGTTATTAGATATGGAAAATGACAAACCCCAAAATAGTGTGGCCTGGGAACAGGGAGTGCAGAGAAGGGAGCACCCTGATGGCACTGATTCTTTGCCAGTGACAGATCAATCCCAAGAAAAGAAGCATTTATCCTCACCCAAATAAGTCCTTTCCCAGGGACAGTACATGGGGACCTGAAGGGAGAGAGACAAGCTCTGAATGCTGACCCCAGACCCTTCATTCTTCTCCAAGTAAAAATATTGCCCAGTAAAAACAAACTTTCAAACTCTCTCAAGCCTGTTTCCTGAATGCCCAAACTGACCGCTGTCCCTAGACTCTTCCTGTGAGGATGGCCTGAGGCCTGAGCCCAAGCAACTCCACTTTAAAACTCCAGTTTGAAACCTGTCTCCCCAGGCACACCCACAGAGCCCCCCAGTGTGGCCTCAGGCACCAACCGGTCACTTCCCTCACCCTGACAAGCTCAGAGTGAAGTCTCTGGCAGGCTGTCCTGGCCCAAGAAGGGGGAAAGGCCCCCATAAGAGGGAAAGGCGAAAAGATCAGGGTGGGAACCACCAGACCAGGTGCTTTAACCCAGGGTCACTGAGAGACACCTATGGCAGCTGATAAGGATTGAAAGGGGGGTTAAAAGTGAAAGGAAAGTGACCACAACACTCGGAGCAACCAAGAGATCTTTACTGCAGCAGTGCAACAGAGGAGAAAAGAGAGAAAGAGAAGTGGGGGCGGCTGGGGAAGGCTTTTATAGCCCTTCTGCTGTGCTGCCCAAATCTAACAGGGTCTCTGGGTTTGCAAGCTGCCTTGTTGGCACAAGGGGGTTAAGTGCTCGGCCTTGAGTGGCGGGCTGAGTATTCAGCCTTGAGCGGGGGCTTGGGCGTTTGGGCTTGAAGCAAACAGGTGATAAAGAACCAGACAGAGGGTTTGAGTGACCAGGTCATCCTGCAGCTAACTTTGTTTGGCCTGCCCTGCAGACAACTTATTCAGCCTGTCCTGCACCTAACAAAAAGCCCCAAAATTTGATATGAATATTGGAGCAAATGAACGGACATTCAGCCAGTCAACACTGATGCCCTCATGCTGGAGAACCTGATGAGAACCTGGACTGACATCCCAGCTCTTCTCCTCCTTTGCCTGATTCTCAGCATCTTCCTCATGATAAACCCAAACTAATTCCCTCTTAAGATTGGGAGCCATCTCGCCACAAAGGCATGAAAAGTCAATTTTGGCTTCACTATAAATTACTGCGATTTCTAAACTTGCTTGGAATGCCTGCCCATGCCTTGAACTCACCCATGCCTGGCTTTCCCTGACCAGTTAGCCACCCTCTCTGAAACTTTAGTGGCGCCTTATAAATTCCGGCTTTCCCCAGCCAGATAATGACCCTCTTTGAAGCTCTAATGGCACCTCATAAAT